AGAAGCAGACAGCCACAACTAATCACTGAACTGAACTGGAATCCAGATGCAGAGAAGACAAGTGAAGAGCAAAGGGGTCCAGAACAAGCTGGTGAAACCCCTGAAAACAGCTGACCTGAACATCGGGGAACTCTTGCTCCCCAGACTGATAGCTGGGAAACCAGCATGGGACAGATCCAGACCCCAGGGACATGGGCTTCAGTGAGGAAACCTCAGAAATCTACGGGACCTCCTGTAGTAGTTCAGTATTTATCCCCAGCACAGGTGTGGACTTTGGGAGCCCATTCCACATAGAAGGATACTCCCTGAGCAAAGGATATGTGATAGGTAGGGTTTTAGTTGGGGGTGGTGGTGGTAGGGGAGGACCGGAGGGACAAGGGAACTGGGATTGACATGTAAAACAATCTCGTTTCTAATTCAAATAAAAAAAAAAAACTGCAAAAAAAAAATGTCTGGCTCCTTATCAAGATAAGACATTACAAAATCAATATTTGAAACAATGTATCACATCAATTATGAGAAATAACCCACGAAGCATTACAAAACCAATATTTGAAACAATGTATCACATCAATTATGAGAAATAACCCACGAAGTGATAAGGAAGTGGCAATTAAAATGGCATTTGCTTATGGTGCCATTTCTATGAATTCCACAAACTGTCCAAGAACAGACCCTTTCCATATACTCCCAGCATATAAAACATTACCATTAAAAGCTGCTGAGATGACTCAGAAGTTTTCTGCTTTTGGCGAAGGCCCAGGTTCGGTTCCCAGCACCTACTTCAGACAGTCCACAACTGTCTGTAACTGTCGCTCCAAGGGATCTGACATCCTCTTCTGGACTCCTCAGATACCTGCATTCACATACCCATTCCTGAACACATACATACATACATACATGCTGATATACATAAAAAGTAAATATTTAAAATAATTACAACAATTTATTTGCTAAAGAAAATGTGATTTTCATTTAAAATTAAGAAGCAAGATTATATAACAACATTTATGGATATTAATGTTTTCATTTATTTTTTTGTGTGTGGATGTCTTGCCTGAATGTATGTCTATTACCACACGTGTGCAGTGAGTGCCTCAGGAGACCACAAGTGTTGGATCTCTGGAGCTGGAGTTGCAGACAGTTGTGAGCCAGCAAGTGGGTTCTGGGAATTGAACTCAGATCCTCTGGATGATCAGCCAGTGCCCTTAAGTGCTGAGCCATCTCTCCTGCCCTTGAAGACTCTTAGGGATGCTGGCTTCCTTTGAAAGCTCTACTTTGTTTTCTAGTTACAAAAAATATCAGGGTAGCCAGTGTAAGAACAAAACACCTGGATGACCCTAACCCCGCCCCCTAACAACCCGGGCACTCACTCACCCACCATGCCTTTCGACCTTTGCCCTACTGCGCATATGCAACCTTCCCTTTAAAAGGTCCTGCCCCACACCCCTGGCTCTCTCTTCCTTTCGGCTACCCTAGGGTTGGCTGACTGCCCATCCCCCCTTTCCCCTCTTCTGGTAAATAAACTCCACGTGGGTTGCTTATCCGTTGTTCCTTTCTTTATTAGCAGCTGCAGCTTAAACAAAAGAATAACAGCCAGGGCTGTTTAGTGAAACATTGCCTCAATTTTTCTCTTCTATTTTTTTGTTGTGTGTGTGTGGGTGGGGGATACACATGTGGAGGTTAGGGGAATAACTTTTGGAAATCAGTTCTCTCCCTTCCATCATCAGGGCCCTGGTGGCCAAACTCAGGACTCCAGCTTTGCTTGCAAAGGCCATTACCTGCTGAGCCATCTTGACAGACTACAGCTTTATATCTTGAAACATGGCTCTGGGTACTTAACCAAAATTTACCTTCCTGTCTGTCCTACAATTGCTAGCCCAGTAGTTTCCAAAGAAGTGTGTGGCAGTCTTCTCAAGACCATCCTTGGAGATAAGGGAAGAAAACAGGAAATTTTCTGTATCTGATTTTTAAAAAATATTTATTTATTTATTTATTTATTTATTTATTTATTTATTTATTTATTTGCCACCCTGGGTTTTATTCAGTAGGTAGTTACAGTCGTGTCATTGTGTTAGCTTGTGTATTGGAGCCTAGGGTGGCTCTTTGCAAAGCTCAGGTGCAAGCTAAGGAAGCCAGGCAGTTCAGGGTCACTTCCTCTTTCTCAGGCCTTGGCCTGAGCTCTCAATGCTAGACTCTCTGGCATGACTGAGATGCTATCAGAGAAATACCTCACAGGACTCATGTGAGTGCCCATCCCCCACACCCAAACCCAACAAGCCTTTACACTGGATTGCTTCTGGCTGGAGGAGGGGAGGGAGAAGGGAACTGGGATTGTCATGTAAAACAATTTTGTTTCTGATTCAAATTAAAAAATCTAAAAAAAAAAAAAAAGATGGATATTCATCAGGGAACTTGGGGTTGAAACCACAATGAAATGCCATTGTACACACATTAGAATGGCTAAAGTTAAAAATACAGGAATATATGTGTATCAGGTGTATAACTAAGTGACCCCTAACACCACAGTCAGTCAGTAGACTAACAGTGTGAAACAGCTGCTATCCCATGCATGGCTAATGAGAGTGCAAGGTAAAAGTCTGGCAGTATCTTTTCAAGTTATATATACCATATCACCCTAGTAATTCCACTTTTAGATATTTGCCCAAGAAAAATAAAAGTATAGCTGGCTAGCAATAGTGCATGCCTTTAATCTCAGCACTCAGGAGGCAGAGGCAGGTGGGTTTCTGCGAGTTTGAGGCCAGCCTGGTTTACCTTTCTTTGCTTCTTACTCTGTGGCTGGCCCCTGGTCTCCTCCTCCTGTCCCTAGATTTCTCTTCCCATTTATTTTCTCTTCCTGATATCTCTCCCCCCCCCCATTTCTCTCTCCTGCCTAGCTGTTGGCTGTTCATCTCTTTATTAGACCAATCAGGTGTTTAGACAGGCAAAATATTACACTTTACAGAGTTAAACAAATGCAACATAAAAGAATGCAGTGGATCTTTGCATCATTGAACAAATATTTCATAGCATAAATGAATGTAACACATTTTAAACTAATATTTCACAACAGATACCTGTTGGGAAAGACATGCATACACAAATGTGTACCTATACCACACACATAAACATAAGATCAAACCCAAAACCCCATGTGGGTGGCCCCTGAGGAATGACACAGTGACACCCCTTCCCCCAATACACACACAAACCTCACACGTGGGGCCAAAGACCAGTGGTCTGTGTGGTACTTTAGGGTCTGGAGTTGGGGAAGAGATTATGAAAGGACATGGTTTTTTGAATTGAAGGAAATAGTGGTGGTTGTATGATTGTGTACAGGTGTCCAAACTTACCAACTTGCCAGGTGGTAGTAGTACATGCCTTTAATCCCAGCACTCGGGAGACAAATGCAGGCAGATTTCTGTGAGTTCAAGGCCAGCCTGGTCTACAGAGTGAGTTCCAGGACAGCTAGGGCTGTTACACAGAGAAACCCTGTCCTGAAGAAAAACAAAAAACAGCCCCCCCCCAACCCCAACTTTATAGGTAATACAGTTGGGTTTCTCTCTCTCTCTCTCTCTCTCTCTCTCTCTCCCTCTCCCTCTCCTCCCCTCTCCTCTCCTCTCTTCTCCTCCTCTCCTCCCCCCTCTCCCTAATCCACCCCCCCCAGGCTGTCCTTGACATTTGGCCCAGGCAATCCTGCTTCAGCTTCTTTCCCAGCTGATTTTTAAAAATGGGTAAATTCTAACTTAAAGTTGTTAGAATTCCCCTGCCCTTTGGAACCCAGGATTTTGTGCATAGTAGACAAGTGACCAGACATTCCAACTCCCAACAATTTTTCTACATTCATTTATTTCATTTGGAGGTGCACATGTAAGCATGCAGTTGTGCGGGCCATGGTGTGTTTATGGAGGTCAGATGACAACTTGTGGGATTTGGTTTGCTCCTACTGTGTGGTTCCTGGGGATTGAACTCAGGTCTTCCAGCTTGTTGCCTCTGCCTCTGAAGGACTGTGATTAAAGGTGTGAGCCTTTATAATTAAAAAATATAATTCTTTGTTGATTCTTTGGAAATTTCACATCATATCCCCCGTCCAGTCCCTGCATAACCCCCTCTCCCCCGCAGCTTCCCCCATCAAAGAATTCCCTCCCCCAATCAGACACAAAACCCCTGCCTTACTTCTCCATCTTTACAACACCTCTTCATCCATCCTGGTGGCATCGGGTGCTGTGGTGTGTCATGCAGTGGGCTCCTTTAGTTCAGTCAGCCCCACCCATAAAATAGTCATTGCAATGAGTCATTGGTCTGGTTCAAGTCCTCTGGCCTCTGGCACACCATCATCAGTGGACCTTCACCTAAATGCCTCTTGGGACATCTTGCTAATGCCCTGAGTCATGGAAATCCTGTGGTTATCAGTTAATGGTTCTGCAGGACCAGTCCATTCACGAACTCCAGCAGGAGGCAGAGGCAGGCGGATCTCTGTGAGTTTGAGACCAGCCTGGTCTACAAGAGCTAGTTCCAGGACAGCCTCCAAAGCCACAGAGAAACCCTGTCTCGAAAAAGAACTTGTTCAGGTGGTGGGAGTGAAGGTCCAGGGTGGATTGTTTACCTAGCCTACACAGAGCCTTAAGTTTGCTCTCAGTGCCATAAAGGTCTTAGAGAGTGTTGGGAATTTGGCATTGTTTTGAAGTACAGTAAATGCATCGTTTTATTTTCTGGTTAGAGCCTGAAGTTCAGTGGGTTTAGTATATTCAGAGTTGCACAACTAATACCACTGACCCTCCCCTCCCCTCCCCTCCACTCTCCTCCCCCCTCCTGCCTCTCTTATCTTTTCTTTCTTTCTAGGCTCAACCAAGTAGTATCCTCAGCTCTTTAATTTTAGGACATTTTATTTTTCCCACAAGAAATCCTGTACCCATTAGTAGGAACTCCCCAATGTGTCCTTCCTACAAGCTCTGCCAAACACTGTTACTGTTTCTAGTTTACATTTCAATTGAAGCTATTTTGCCTGGTTGGTATTGGGAAGGTTATAAATCCTGGTCTCCAATTTATAATCAAGCAAATGGGAGGGGAATTACTTGCATATTTTATGTGTTTGTCAAAATAGATAATCGCCAAAATGAAACACTTACGGTTATTTGTTGGTAAAATCTCTGTCATGAATCAGAGTAATCTAAGCTCCAGAAGCATTACTGTTTGTGGCACAGCCAGAACATTGCCATGTTCATACTCCCCCCAGCTATCCAGGTGCTTTACCACCATCCCAGGATAGTCTTTCTTTAAAAAAAAAAAAAAAAGATTTCTCTCTCTCTCTCTCTCTCTCTCTCTCTCTCTCTCTGTGTGTGTGTGTGTGTTGTGTGTGTGTGTGTGTGTGTCTGTCTGTCTGTCTGTGTGTCTGTGTGTCTGTCTGTGTGTTATATGTGTCTAGGTACCCATGGAGACCAGGAGAAGGCAGGACAGATCCCCTGGTTATCTGGGCCATCTGATACGGGTACTGGGAACTGAGGGCAGCCCTCTGTTTCTGGTGGAATAGCATGTGCTTTTAACTCTCAAGCCATCTATGAGACCCCCAAATGGTTTTTCAGAGAAAGCATTTGAGATGCGGGGAACTGAATTATAACAGAAATGGACAGTTAACAGCATAAACAAAGCCTCAAGGCATGCTTAGGAAATAACAGTTTGCTTAATAAATCAGTAACTGATAACTAATAAAGTAATGACAGGAAAAGGTGCATGGTATGGATAATATAAGATCAAACTGATTTTAACAAAATAATAAAAGTTTTCAATTCCTTGAAAATTTAAGAACTGGTAATATATTAGTTGGGTGGTTTTGAGCATTGAGTAAGAGTTAGCACTGTTAGAGTTGGGCTTTAGAACTGCACTTCTCAGGCTGTCCTGAGAGGACTAGCTTTTAACATTATTTTCCGTTTCCACCTGGTAATTTTTATAAACTATAGCAAAAACAAATTACGTATAGACAGAAAACGTTCTTTTTTTTGAGATAGGTTCTCACTTGTAGCTCAGACTAGCCTCAGTTGTTCAAAAATGCTTATATTGTGGGTACTTTTTATTATTATACTCAGCAAAAAATATTTCTATCAGACTGCTATAAAAGTTTCTAAGTAATTGGAATTTCTATATCATGCCATTATTAGTGAAATATTTGTAGATGAGCATTGGTTCATGTACCCCATTTCTGTAGCACTATTTCTAGTTGGTATTAATAAAAACACAGACAGATTGGGGTTAAAGCTGAAGATCAGAGAAGCAAAGCAGCCAGCCACTAGAGAGTTCTCACCTCTACCAATGCTCAGACTAAAAGGGCAATCCTGTCCTCAGATTGCGTCTCCAGACTGTCTGTCTCCACGAAACCTCAGACTGCACTGAGCTCCTGTCTCCTCCTGCCTTATGTTCCTCCCTAGTGTTGGGATTAAAGGCCTGGGATGCCAAGTACTGGGATCACCTTTGTGTGAGCCCTGTTTCTCTTTTAGACTGGATCAACTTTGTGTGCTCAGGGTGGCCTTGAACTCACAGAGATCCTTCTTCCGAGTGCTGGGATTAAAAGGTGTACCATCACTGCCTGGCCTCTATGGCTGCGGCTAGCTTTGCACTGTGATAGCCAGGCAAACTTTATTTGTTAGATCATAAACAAAATTATCACCACACTTTCCCAGCCAATTGGCTTCAGAGTAGTTCACATCAGTGTGGGAACAAAACTGAGACAAGTTTATGACCTTGGTAAATTGTTGGCAGAAAGAATGGAGTGAAAGACCGAAATTCTAAAGACATTTGGAAATGTAAACAGAGGCACATGCGGTAATTGGACGTGTCTTTAAGCTTGAGTGGGAAAAAAATGTCTGTGGCAGAAGTGGGAACTGAACTGAAAAAAAAAAAGCTGCTAAATTGTTTTCATAAAAAGTCTATATTTATAGCATCTTTCTTTTCTTTCTTCTGTTTTTATTTGTCTCATTCTATAGCTCAAGCTGGCTTCAAATTTGTGGCAGTTCTCTCACCTCAGTCGCTTAAGTGCTAGAATTGCAGTCATGACGCTGATTTATTTCAGTTCACAATTTGAATTTGCCTACTCAGATGCACTTCGAATCTTTACTTGACTAGCAGTTTGAATACATAATGGCTCACAGTGAAAACAGATGTCCAAGAACATTTTACAGTTGAGTTCTTACTCTCATTTGCTGTTGCAGTGACTGTTGTTGGGCACTTGGCCAGGAAACTGTGACTCCTAAGCAAAGGGAGGAGTTACAGATAAAGTTCACCATTGCCAGAGAGATTCTATTCCAAATGGATTTGTGTGGAGCAACAGTGATATCCAGTGACAAGTTAAATTAGACACAGAGGTGTTTTCTCCCACACAGTCTCTGAAGATACATGCTTGCTTCAGGCTAAGCAGTCTTTTTGAAGTTAGATTAAAGTCACACACACTAAAGAATTCTATTAGGGATTTTTAAGAAGAATTTTGTTATGTGACTTCAATACTACTTTACCCAGATAGTTTCAGTTTGCAAAACGGCAACCAGTGACAGATGAGGTAATTCTGCTTTCAATTACAGTCAAATCCAAAACTAGTAGAGTTTGCTGTTTATAGAATGTCAAATATAGTAAATTGCATGTTTATGTTAAGTCTGAGACTCTTAGATCCCTATTCTTAAAGCACATTACAGTAATGATTTTATTTCTTGCAGTTAATATCTGTATTTGAATGGAATTCTTCAAGTTTTTGTCTTTAATGCTGTGGGAAATGTTAGTAAATACTGCTAGACATGTTTTTTAATGAAGTCTGTGTTAGGTTTTACAGTTCCTGTGCATCTCCTAGAGATTGTTCCTCCTGTTAATGCTCAGATCTTCAACTCACAATTGACTTTTCTGTGGGGATTTCTGGCTAAGAGTTACTCTTTGTGATTGGATGCTTAGTATAGTCATAAGTTTTTGGGTGGTGATTATACATCTTGAAGCTTGCTTTTAATTTTTACAGAAATGTTCATCCTCTTGAACATAGGTAGAATTATTCTACTAGTTAATAATTAAGAACATAGTAAATTGGCTCTGGCAGATATGTAGAAAGGTCTTGACTCAGAAAAATTTGTTTAGTCTGTTTTTGAAATATTCGTGTCAATGAGCTAGTCTTCATTGATACCACATAGTTGACACACATCTTATACTTTGTTAGTTTATAAACTCAATGGAGAGTGTCTGTTGACTGTCCTGAGACGTGCTGGGAAGCTTTAAGGTTTCTCCTGTGGTAAAGTGAAGGCTCCTCTTCCAGCAGCGGTGTTCATTTATTGTCTTTGTAACCCTTGGTGTATGTGTGCAGTGCCTACATTTGGGTTGGCACTCTGCGGTACAGCTGCCCCTTTGCTTATTACAGCTTTGCTTCTGCAGCAAATTAAATTTCATCTGTATAGCTCTTCTATCCGTGTTTCAAAAGTTAAGTTAGGGAAAAGAAAAGGAAAGATGAGAATACACGGAGGTTTTCACATAAAGATCGAAACAGAAATGAGGAAGACATGGGAATGGATTCTGTGAATTAGAGTATTTGTTTTGAATGAAAGGAGGAAGGATATTTGATGGAAGTTTTTCATAAACGGTATTACTTCCTAATTAAAATGTTTTACTAATATATCGTGTGTACATGTCTGTGCACGTGTGTATGCGTGGGAGTGCAGGTCTCTGCAGGCACTTAGAGAGTTCTCTTCTTGATGATGTTCCTCAGATTGCGCTCAGGTCGCCAGGCTTTACAGCCCGTAAGGCTTCACAGCCTGTACTTTTGTCCATCTGCCAGACTGTTTCCTAATTTTAAGAACATACACACTTTAGTAGCTCTGACTACCCTCAAATACACAATTTCCATGATACATGGCACAAAATGAGATGTGTTGTAGCCCATATCCAATAAATGTGTTTAATTGAGTAGGTAATGTGATTAGTTAAGTCAAAGAGGAATGAGAGATACAATTTGATAGATATTTAGCAATGATTATTTTGGCAAAGACAGATTTTCATGTTCCTGAATATCTCATAATCATTATTCCCAGAGGTTAACAAGGATGCGCTTGCCCTTCTTGCTGTCTTTTGGAACACATGTGCATTGATGGGCTTCCATGTGAGTGCATGGGCAGTCTATGTTCTGACCAAGAAAGCTTTGCCTGAGATGCTTTTGCCTTTCTGCTTTCTGTTAGCAGTCTCCCCTGCCGCTGCAGCTGAGTCTTTCCTCTATCAAAATTGAAACTATGTTTTAAAAACTGTGTGGTTCTGTACCTCTTTCTTAAAATATATGATGCGAAAGAAAAATCTTCCTCAGTTCACTCCTGTCTGTGTCCCCTCAGGATATTTTAGGCATGTCAGCTGTTAAGGCTCTGAGCAAAGATTTATACAGTTGGCCCCTTTGCCAGACCTGAGCCAGTTTGAAAAGCTCCAGCATTAGTAGTAGCTTTTAGTTTTAAGAGTTACAAGCATTATTTTGTGTCTTTCACCTCTGTTGTTTTCAAAAGGATTTATGTAGCTGGGGATCCTCAGTAATGAAGGAGATTTTGTTATCAGTGAGAAAGCAGGGTAAAACTTGGGAGGATCACTGTGGTGTTTGAAGTTAAGTACTTGTTTTGTTATTTTTATTGTGGTTGTTTTAAAGTTTGTAGCTCTGTGATAGAGCACTAGATGTGCAAGCCCCGTATCTCTTTTTCTAGTGCTTAAAAATAATAAAAACAAGAAATTAACAAAAAAGAGGTTTGGGTAGGTATCATTTCTCCTCTGATTCTTTTTTTTTCTTTCAGCTGTTCTTTTTTTTTTTGTTGTTGTTGTTGTTGTTTTTGAGACAGGGTTTCTCTGTGGCTTTGGAGCCTATCCTGGAACTAGCTGTTGTAGACCAGGCTGGTCTACAACAGAGATCCGCCTGCCTCTGCCTCCCCAGTGCTGGGACTAAAGGTGTATGCCACCACGGCCCGGCTCTTTCAGCTGTTAATACTCGTTTCCTTCCCTTACCATACTTAAGTCAAGATGAAATAATGATTTTCCAAAAACTAGGTGTTTTTTTTTTTTTTTCCTCTTCCAAAGACAGTTTCTCTGTGTAGCTCTGACTGACCAGGAACTGACTGTATTGATCAATCTGGTCTCAAATTCACAGAGATCTATTTGCTTCTTCTTGGTTTAAGGGCATCCGCCAACTTGTCCCCCTACCCCCACCCCAAATCCTAGATTTTCTTAGGGAAAGTATAAGTTTTTTATGTAACATTTCTTTCAGAAACAGATTTATGAACCTAATCTATGTGTGTTAGCAATTATGTCCATGAGATGTAAATGATTTTCATGCTTTTCAGGAACATAAATTATAGTTTTTGCATTTAAGTCTTCAATTGAATTATTTTAAGCAAGTCTTTGAGAACTTGTCCTTCTTAAAGATGTCCATTTTACTATAATTTGTAACATAAAGTATATGAGTTTGTGAAGATGTTTTAAAAAGTCTATGTCTGTGTGTGTTTGAGTCATGGTCACATGTAGTCTAGGCTGGCCTTGAACTCATTACCTACTTGAGGATGACCTTGAACTTGTGCTCATTCTCCTCCTACCTGGATTACAGGTGTGTGTCACTATGATGTCTGGTTTCAGGTAATGCTGGGGATTGAACTCAGGGTGTTAGGCATGCCATGCTCCGCAGGCCTTGGAGGGTTATGTTTTGTTTTAATTTTAGACAGGGTTACACCATATATCTCAGACTGACTTGAACATGAGATTGACCTGCCTCAGACTCCTAAATGCTTCTTCACACTTGGCTTGCGTCCTTATTATTTGTTTTTTACTTACACTTTTGTTCTGTCTGTTTTGAGACAGGGTCTATCTGTAGCTGAAGCTGGCCCAGAACTCATGTAGCCAGCCCAAGCTGGCCTGGAATATGTGATTTTCCTGCCTTAGACTCTTCACTGCTGGGGTTACAGGAATGCAGCATCATAGCCAGCTATTTGTTTTTTGTTATGTTGTCCATTCTGGCCTTGAGCTCCTGGGCTCCAATGCTTCTCCTCCCTTAGCACTGTGCCTACCTTACTGCTGGGTCTCCTCCTACCCCCTTTCATCTAAATGGAAAAGATAAATAGCAGAAAAGAAAATCTAGTTGAAAAATAGGCAAAGATACCTAAATTGCCAACAGATACATGAAAAGGTATTCAGGATCACAGATGATCTAATCATCAGGGAGGTTCAAATTAACATCATAGTTAGGTATACAAGGGCGTTGCATAAATTGTTATGTCCACAGTGGAAAGTAGCACCAGGTTTCCCAAATAAATTAAAGACATATAAATACCTTAAGGAAAATGAGATCACCCACCCTGTAAAGATGCTCTCCAGGGTTCATGGCATCATTATTCACAATAATGAAGATACAGAAGCAATCACAGTGTTTGTCCACAGATGCAGGGTGAATATGAACTCCATACGCACATGATTTAGCTTTACAAAGGAGATTCTACTATTTGCAATTACCTAGATGAGCTCAAATGACATTGTACTGAGCAAATACACCAAATACAGGAAAAAATACTACATAAAATCACTTATGTGAAATTTAAGAAAAATTACATAAATATAGAGAGTAAACTAGTGGTTGGGATTAGGATACATAACCGCAGTTACCTAGGAGACATTTGTCTTAGATCTTAAGTACATGATGAGCACAGAAAGTGGTCTTGTATCCTAGAGAGGCAAAGCAGAGAGGAGGGAAAGTAACCCTATGTTAAGTTGAGGTTGCTGAACCCCAGTAGTCACTGTATGTAACATCAAGTCATCATGTTAAACACCTTAAGTATATACAATAATATAAAGTTGGTCAGAAAAATAAATGAGACAGTATAGAAAAATAATTTCACTAAACTTCAGTGTTAATCAAGATACAATTTTCTTATTCTTTTTTTTTTTTTATAGGGTGTTTGTGAACCGGAGTTTAGCCATGGAAAAAATAAAGTGTTTTGGTTTTGATATGGATTATACCCTTGCTGGTAAGTAGTGATTTTTGTTTTCTTCAGAATTGCTGGTTTTGATACAACATAGTGGGTCCACAGGCAGTTCAGCAATCACTTGTTCATGTAATCATTTATTTGGCTGCAAGAAGCTTTTGTTGGATGTCTTTCCATTAAGACATGTGAACTGAAGTTACCCAGTATTCTTGAGAGTTGGTTCCTGAGCTTGTACAGATAGTTAGAAAAAGTCCTAACATTACTTTCAAACTCTTGTTTAAAAATTTTTTAGTAAAATTTTAGACTAATGAATCATTAACATATGTATTTGGACATTTTTGACTCTTACTCTTTTAAGCTGTTTTTCAAAAGTAGAAAAAGTTTTTGAGACAAGTTTCACAATATACTCCAAGCTGACCTGGAACGCATGCAGGCTGGCCTGGACTCAATGTAAGCTGACCTGGAACTCATGCAGACTGGCTTGGAACTTGCATGGATCTCTTGCATCTGCTTCCAAGTGCTGGAATTATAGGCATGTGTCAATGCCCAGCTTCAAGATGAATTTTTGGATTTCTCATTCTGCCATAAAGTTAATTATTAAAGTTTTTAATATTTTATTATTATGGGTTGGGTGAGGGATTGTAAATGCTTGGATTGCAAGCATGAGCCAGCAACATTTTTACCCCCATTTCCATGTTTGTTTGATTGTGATGCTAGGAGTCAAACTTAGGGCCTACGTCATGGTAGGCAAATGCTTCAGTACTGAGCCATTACCCCCCCCCCCCTTTGTAACCTTTTACTCTTTTTAAAGAGAAGATTTGTTTTATTTTTAGTTATGTGGACATATATGTGTGTGTGGGGGGGTGGTACACAAGAAAGCAAGTGACCACCAAGGTCAGAAGAGGGTGTCAGTTTTAGACCTGGAGTTTCGTAGTTGTGAGCCTCCTACTGTGGTGGTGGGAACTGAATCTAGGTCCTTTGAAAGACCAGTGTACACGCTAACCCGCTTAGCCATCTCTCTAGCCTATTAATAGCTTAGTCTCTGACAGATAGGACATGTGTTCATTTCCCATCACAATGGTTGCTTGAGCTTTTGCTCATTGTTACAGTCTCCTTAAAGACTAACATTGTGCTCTTTCTTCCCGTCTGTCTCTGAGATATAAGTGAAATACTCAGTGTCAGTCTGTAGTTACATCTCCTCAGAGTTTAAAATATTGGCAGCATTGTCCTTTAACTTAAGAAGTAGTAGGTTTGAGAGATCAGGTTGAGCACCTGGGCATGTGTCTAACACACAGACACGGTTACGATACTCAGAAAGAATCTTCTGGAAATTCTCTTCAAAGTAATTGTCTTTAGCTAAATATGGCAGTGTGCACTTGTAGCCTCAGTACTTAGGAAGCCAAGGCTGAAGGATTGATTGAGTTCAGAAATTTGAGACTATCATGGGCAGGGTGGGTAGTGTTATAGTTAGATCCCTCTTTTAAAAAGTTAAATATGCAGAACTTTAAAATGTAAAAGTTGCTTTCCTGAATGACAAATACACTCATAAGCCAATAAGTGGACAAATTATCCAAACCTACAACTAAGAAGGGTCTGGTGGCATCAGTAATCCCAGCACTCAGGAGGCAGGAGGGGGGTTTGCAGCAAGTCTTCCTTCTGCCTCCTGAACTGCACACAAAGCTACAAGCTAATGACTTCCCTGTGTACTGAGTTCTAGGGTATTCAGTAAGATCCTGTCTTAAAAACAAGCAAGCAAACAAGCTCTGTAACCTCTGAGCCATCCCAACACATCCCTTCCCTGAGCATTTTATAATATAGTTTCTGCTATCCAATGCCCTCTTCTGGCCTCTCTGCACACTTCTATTGTATGTTTAGTATAAAATGTGTTATATGGTAGCTGCTAAATAAGTACTAACTTTGGATGCATGTGTTCTAGTCTGTCCAGTGATTCTTAACCTGTGGGTCATGACCCCTTTGGGGGTTGCATATCAGATATTTACATTACAGTTTATAACAGTAGCAAAATTACAGTTATGAAGTAGCAACAACGTTTTTTTTTAATGGTTGGAGGTCACTACAACATGAGGAACTGTATTAAGGGTTGCAGCATTAGGAAGGTTGAGAACCACTGCTCTAATCTATTTGAATCCTCACATTTTGTTCTTCTTTAAGAATTTTTCTGGTAAGACAAATCCTTTATGTTACTATTTATGTTACTATATGAATTATTTTTAAGAAATCAAACCAACCACAATCAATCAAACCAGGCAAAACTGTGGAGATGGCCTAAGTCAGTAAGTGCTTTCAGTGCAAGCTGCAGACCTGAGTTTGCACCCCAGAAGCCATGTAAAACTGGTGACCATGACCATTGCTTATAATTCTAGCACTGGAACAGTGGAGAAAGGAGGATCCGTGGGGCTCACTGGTCAGCCAGTTTTGCCACATAGTCAAGCTCCAGGCCATTTTGAGGTCTTGTCTTATAGAGCAAGGTTGGAGGTGCCTCTGCCCTTTCCTGCTTTGCCTGAGGCCGCATGGAAGCTCCGCCTACCAATGTAGCCCCTTCAAGTTCCAGGTTGCTAGGTGGCAGACCTTGGATTGGAGCCTTGCTTTCATGGCAGGGAAGTGTGGTACCCAGTGTGGACCCAGCTTGTAGGTGCCTGGAATCTTTGATGAACCCCAAGGAGATCCACAGGAAAGCACCTCTTCCAGGTAGAATTCAGGATAAAAATGAAAGGTGTTCTGTCTTTGAAATTTCTGAAAACTAATAACAAACTGGAAAAATCCAAATAAAAGTCACTTTGAAGAAAAATATTTTACCTTGACTTGCCTTCTGTCACCATATCTGAAAAACTATGAAAAGACATAAAAGATCTTGGAGGGTGAATCTCTCAGCAAAGATAACAGTTTTCTTATTTCAAATAAAAAGGAAACAAAGTATGCACAAATATTGTGTCAGTTATCTCCAGTATTAAGTACAGAGTCTGCATAGACTGGAGTGTAGTGATATATTGTTTGTAATCTAATAAATAAAGCTTGCCTGAGGATCAGAATGCAGAGCTAAGTCACTAGTTAGCCACACACACACACACACTAACCCACTAGTTAGCCATAGAAGACAGGCAGTGGTAGCCTCACCTTTAATCCCATCACTCAGGAAACAGAGGCAGACGAATCTCTGTGAGTTCAAGGCCACCCTGGGCTACATGAGAGTGAATCAATTTAAAAGAGAAACAGAGCTCACACCTTTGATCCCAGCACTTGGGATGACATGCCTTTAATCCCAGCACTAGAGAGGAATATAAAGCAGGAACTCAGTGCAGTCAGAGGTTTGGTGGAGAGCATTACAGTCCGCAGTTATGCTGAGGACAGGATCGCAGCGGGGGCACCCCCCAATTTGGTCTTGATAGAGGTAAGGACTCTCTAGTGTTTGGCTGCTTTGCTTTTCTGATCTTCAGCTTGAACACCCATGTCTGTTTCTGGGTTTTTATTATTGATGCTGCACTGGAAACCTTACCTAGGTCATTATGACAGTTCCTGTAAGTCTTCAATCACAGATTTTATTCCTACCAATAGTGTGTTATCAAATGCCTTGTCATGGGGTGTAAGAGTTGTGTGTACTCAGCTACTTCTGTAAGAGATTCAGGGGAAGGCTGGTGTTGGAATGCAAAGGCAAGAACAGGATGACTCCTCAAAAACCCTTTTAAAAAGTCAATGTGAGCTAGTCTTACCCTTTTACCTTCAGCTGACCAGTATACCTTTATAAACTGTCTATCCAGAGCCAGTCCATTTGATGAAATAAACCTTCTAGCATCCAAAAACAAACAGGTTAAGCTCAGAATTAATACAGATGACAATAAATATGGTGGAACCCCAGTTCAACTCCAGTTGAAGGAAAAGAGAAAAAAGATATTGTGAACAGTGTACCTTTAATCATAATAGCTCCTTAAACTAGGGGTCACTAGTAACATTTATAAAGAAAGCCAAGTCAAGATGTAAGATGGCTTACACGTAATACAAAGAAAAAGGAATATCTTTACTTCCCATGTAACTTCATGGCCAAGGGCCATATAACAAAGGTAGGTTAGCAAGGAAAAACATTATTTTGTTTTATATGACATGGGGACCTCCAAGGAAATGAAGAACTGAGGAATGAAGGAACTTACGTGTTTTTATGATAGGATTTATCATAAAGTAGACAGTTAATGGGGTAGGGTGACTGGACAAGGCATGTGTTCAGATCCTTCGCTGCACACTCCTTTCTTCTAGCACCAAGCTCATCTCATGGAACTGTTCTCCTGAGGTTTTATGGTATGCTTCGGAGGGGACAGGCGGATATAAGGATAGCCTTTCTGCTTCTGTTTTTTTTTGGGGGGGGGTATCAAGAGACATTGTTTTGGGGTAATGTGTCCTGAACCTTGTCAGTAACTAGCATCTGTCTTAGTTTATATTAGTGTTATTATTTTAGGCAGTGTTGCTAAATAGCCTTTATTGGCCTTGTGCTTACTATATTGTCCAGATTAGCCTTGAATTCCTGGCAGTCCTCCTGACTCAGCCTCCTAAATGTCGGGATTATAAACTTATGCCACCACACCTGGCTGGCAACTGACTTTCAAAACTCATAGATGGAATTTAAACCTAGATCAGTTTCCATTTTTCATGTGGTCTAAATTTTAAAGACAACAAAAATTGTCCAGTAAGCTCTAGATATCAGTAAGAGATGCAAAGCAAAACAAAAACTTGAATAACAAACGACAAACCATAAGCCTCCTTGTTTTCTGGTTTTTGATTTTGGGGCCCCTAAGTGAAAATCTTGCTTGGAACAAAAATGCCCTTTCTTCACCTTTGAATTATAGCCTTTCCTTAGAATGTGGCTAGCGTTAGTTTGCCTTTTCCTTTCATGTAAGTGTGCATGTATTTGTGGTGCTGGGACTGAACCCAGGGATATGTGAATGTTAGGTAAGTGTTCTGTCACTTAGCTACAGTCCTAACCCATCTTTGTTTTTCTTTTTTCTTTTTTAACAATTTTAATTGAAATAGAATTA